AATTGTTATTCTCTGCCTGTGACTCTGCAGACATCTGCAAAGCAGGGAGAAAAAGAAATGCTGAGTCAAAAGCCTGCACAGACAGCAGTTGTATTTCAGGTTTACTACAGGTGAAGCAGACATCTGGATTTTTCTAGCAGCTCCTGTACACAGAAACGAAATTGAGCCAAGCTGTTCCACGCTAACCCGAGATAACTGGCCAGCTTGAGAGCGCCCTGACTCACAAGCTCACAAGACATTGTTTGAGGTATTTATGAAGCCAACAGCACAGCCTAAGTTTTCTGAAACACTGACTCAAAACTAGTTCCTTATGCAAGCAGGCTAACTCCTCACACAGTCTGTCACACGTAGGTATTAACAACTGCCTGCGTTGCATAAACACAAGGAATACTGAATACTTTTGAAGAAAGCAGATGTTGAGCTTATATTCTTGTAAAAGGGCAGCCTTTCCTGCAATGCCAGACATTATTGCTGCCATTTGTGAAAGGCAGATGTATTTCAGTCGTGCATGAAATAAGGTAACAGGTATTCTAGCTGTGAAAGAAACGTGTAAATCTTCCAAGTGACAGAGATATTTCTAATACAGATTGCAGCAACACTAAACAGACTGAAAAAAAAAATTATATAGATTTTGTTAGAGCAAAGGTTAACGATAGTGTTGCATCCTGCAAAACCCAATAAAATTATCACAACTACGTACTGGAATACTTGCCTCGTCTTGCAAGATTTGCATACTGGAGTCATGCTGTATCACCTCCTAACGCTTCCTAATAATTGCATTTGCACTCCGTGGATTAGAAGAAAATACTGCAGTGGTAAAATCCACTGACAGAAATGAAAAACGCAGATCCACCATAAGAAATGCAGATCACAGTTCCATCACCATTCCAACCCCTCACCACCAGGATGAAGCACAGGTTTCTGGTCTTAACTTGCACAGTCTATCAGTGCGCTTGCAGGTCCCAACCACCCGGTCAGGTACATAAGGAATAAGGCTGCTCATCTTCCTCCCAGGCTTCAGATTAAATGTTTTTCTGAACAATTAACTATTCCCAAACAGGACTAGGCTTTGTCGATCCTCTTGCGGGTGCTCAGCCTTAGCTAGCAGACAGCCTGAAGAGCCAGTTGGATTTACTCCACGTCAACAGGGAAACCCAAAGATACGAGTAGACTTTGCCAAGAAAGATGAGAGTTTGAAGCCTGAGATTTAAGGATGATGCCCTCAGGCAGACCAAGTACATAACAGACCCTGCATCAATCTCCAGCTGTTTCCAGATGTTAAGGAGGACATCCTATGGCATCCCATTGCTGCACGAGCATCAGCCAGGGCTTGTGGGGACAGGATATGCCACACTTCAGTCCTAAGTTCTCCTATCCAAGCAAGAGTCAGACCAAACTGCTCTCCTGAAAAGCTCTGACAGCTCAAATCACAGCTAATTTTAATAGGGTGCAGGATCAATACTCAACCTCCGCTTGAAAAAAAAAAAAAGGGGGAATTAAAACAGCTATTAGAAGATTTAAATAAGAGCACAAGGTAATGGTTTAGGCGCTACAACAGCCATTAAGTACGTTTACTTACATATTTGTAATGCTAGAAATACATTGGTAACATTTTATATAACAAACCAAACTGTGGAAATTTGCCCCCTAGTTAAAAATAAAAGCCTGTGAAGGTCATTCAAACAGGAACAAAAAGCCTCGCTGACGTCTGACATCTCCAAACTTTCAGGAGGCATACGTAAACAGGCAAGGCCAAGCATGAGTGCTCAGAACAAGAGGCAGCAGGTAAAAAAGATAACTGGAGCTTAGTCCACACTGGCTTTAAACTCATCTACATATTAATAGATATTGCTTCAGCTGCTTTCCAGAGGAGAGATCTGCAGTGCAGCTGTAACCCATCACACCCATTTGACAGCAGACTAAACACTTACGCCTGCATTTCCATTTTGCTGTGCTTTGAATGTTGATTCCATTTATCACACAAAAGGGCAGCTGGGGACTCTTAAGTAGCACAAAGCTCAGAGAAGTGATTCACCTCTGTCTCCGGAGCTGCCTCGCTGCCAACCTCCTCTTAAAACAGCTATAGAGATGCGGAATTGCCTTTGTGTCAAAATGCACCTTGATTTATACCGCTTTTGAGCTTCATTAATAGCGACCGGCTTTTCAACTTTTCAGCATTTCCGGCTGGGTTTATCACAATAATTTACTCAATAAATCATGAGACAACTGTACTAAAACATCTCCAGGAGCCTTCAGGGGACTCCCTTTAGGACAGCCGGCTGCAGCTGCAGGCTATACACTCCCTAGTTTCTTGGATCATTTCCACGTAGCATTAAGTGTTCAGCAAAAGCACAGACTACTTTCCAGTAAAGCCAAGTTATGCGCTTCTCTTCAGCGAAGAAATGAAATTTCAGGTCAGAGTCAGCCTTTCCGCATCACTGTTCAGTGAGGGGCTGTACTTGTTGCAGCCCCAGATTGATGGGGAGCAAATAAGAAAGAAGATTATTCAACCAAAGGAGCAGGACTGCTTTTAAATAAGTGAGAAGTTCATGCAATTGATTTATTTTTTAAATACAAGCTGGGTCTTTTTGGTCTCTGACGTCCCAGCAGGTCAAGATGAGTTCATGGAACATTCAATTCCCAGCCCCGCAAACAGAAATTCATATGGCAAACATCAAAGACAACTTCATTACATGGGAGCAAAGAGCCACTATAAACCGGGGATAGATTTGAACCAGTCAGACATGAAGACTTCAGTGCCTGGAACCTCTTATTTTTATCATGGTTTTTGACACACTAATTCACACATCTTATTCCTTATATACGGGGATCTGTCATGGGCCTGAAGTGAGCAGAAGTTAGATCACTTGCAAGAAAACAGTCTAAAGAATTTTAGAGATTATTTTGGAGGATTAAATTTAAACACGATCAAGTTTCCTGGGTTTCCCTGATCTGGTATGTTTTATTACCTGGTTCACACACAAAGTCATGCTGCAGGCCACCCCTCAGAACAGGCACACAAGTCAGAAACACGTTGTGGTAGCTCACGGTCGCTTCCAGTAATTTTCCACTCACTTCGCAAGGTTACTTACACTTTTCTGATGAATTCTACAAAAAGTTGTGTACGGGGCCAGGAACTTTGTGGACACATTTTCATGAGGACAAGAAATGAGAATGCTTTTCTAGAAGAGGAAAACAGAGGAAAAAGACTTAGAAGTGCCGTTAGTCCTAGTGAAACACAGAGGCTGCCAAGGCAGAACTACGATCTGGGCCCAGCTGTGCTCTCTCACAGCCTGAAGATTGATGGAAGGTGCAACATTGGGCTCATCTCCTTAAGCCTCCTCAAGATGTGCGCCCCAGGTGGCAAGAGATGGCTGCTATAGCCTGGCCAGCCACCACGCACAACCCCACCCTGACTATGGGATACTACAGACAGTTCCAGGGCACTGCACAGGTAGGAGGCCCAGAATAGCTGGATAGGACCATGCAGGGGACTGGGCAATAGCTTTAGGCTGCTATTTTGACTGGCATAAGATTATCACCCCTTCACATGTGGTAGGTATATGGTTACGAACCCTCTCTCCCCCCCGAGCCCTGGCACCTTGGTGACTTCCCCAACCACGAAGCCCTCGGAGGCAGCGATGTCAGGGACGCCCTCGGTGCTGAGCCCACGGCGGGTCAGTCTGCCGTACAGGGTCGGCTTCCCTACGGGGAGAGCAACCATCAGTTTGGCCACCCCTCAGACCCCAGATCCTCCTGAAAACACCTTCCCCTCACCCTCCCCTAACTTGCAGGGGCCCCAAGCACCCTCAGCCCCTTCTAACCCACAGAGCACCCCCGAAAACCTCCCTCACCTCATCCTAACCCACAGGGCACCCCTCAACCACCCTCAGCCCCTTCTAACCCACAGGGCACCCCTCAACCACCCTCAGCTCCTTCGAACACACAGGATACCCTCCAAAACCTTCCTCATCTCCTCCTAACCCACAGGGCACCCTCCAACCCCCCTCAATCCTTCCTAAACCACATGGCACCCCCTAAAAACTCTCTCATCCCTCTTAACCCACAGGGCCGCCTCCAACCTCACTCACCCCCCTGCTTACTCACAGCCCCCAACCGCCCTCACCTACTTCTTACCCACAGGGCCCCTCCAACCGCCTTCGCTCCTCCTAAACCAGAGGGCCCCCCAAACGCCCTCACCCCTTCCTAAATCGCAGGGCTTCCTCGAGCCCCCCCAGACACCTCCTCAGCCCGCCTCTCTGCGAGGCCTCCTCAAGCCCCTCAGCGCTCACCAGGGCTCCGGCAGCTCAGCCAGGCCTCACCCTCGTCCCTCCTGCGGAGAAAAAGAGCGGCGGTGAGTGCAGAGCAAGGGAAGGGGAGCGGGCCCAGGGGAAGGGAACCAGGAGGGCCGTGCCCACCTCAGCGCCTGGCTCCAGTCGCTCTGGATCCGCAGCGTCGCCGCCATCTTGCCGGAGCACCGGCACCCCCTTCCGCCTCCTTCCTTCCCGTCAGCCCCCGCGGGGAGGAAGCGGAAGCCCTCCTCCCATGAGCACCCGCGCCCGCCAACACGCC